ATGTAACGCATGCTCGGGCTGCTCGGGTATGGTTCGGATGCGCCGACCTCTCGACTCGAATCTACGGCTTAAGTTCAGGTGGCGTTCCAGTTGGAAAATAGAACTGGGAGGCTAGAAGCTACGACCTCCGAGGACAACTGGAATGCAGCAAAATGAAACCTCTGGATTCAAGATGGCTGCCGCAGCTGTGGCGCTAAAATGAGTTCAGTAGCTAAAGAACATCACATGGTTTTAGCTGAGGGGTGGTCCAGATTCAGCCTGGGTGTGAGCTGTAGTTGATTTAAAAGAAGCCATTTGTCTGTCGGACCTGAGAACGAGGAGCTGAGAAGCTTCCAGCAGCTCCGAAAGGACCTGTGAGTTTTTCCACCAGCAGAACCCACTTCAAAGAGTTTSATGAGGAGTCAGACGATTTCCTCACTTTCTGCTCTTTTTGTTTTCTTCTTCCTCACCTCTTAAATCAAACGTAGTGTTGAAAGAGAAGCACGAGGGCAACGTTGTCCCCCAAAGCACGGGGGCCAGAGGGGGACGTGTCCAACAATGACACATCCTTCAGCAGGACGCTCCTCGTCTCTAATTACTGAGCTGCAGCCAAAACAGTCTGGACCAGAGTCCCAGTCCGAGCTAAAAATAGACCTGGATCCAGCCTGAACACGAGATGGAAACAGAAGCACTCTGAGTTTAGCAGCTGAACTCTGAGTTTTATACTTGTTATTGGATAGTTTGCTGATGTTTCAGGAAGACACTGCTCTGAGGATTAGTTTGTTCAGGTGTGTTTTGATGTGAAGTCCCAGTTGTGAACAGCTGCTGCAGACAGGACGAGGCAGGTGTGGGCGGGGCTGTGATTGGTCCGTGTCAGGTTTGATCCCGTCCAATGGGGAGCGAGCAGGTGACTGGTCAGGACCTGTGTGTGTTTGCACAGTGGAGTCAGTCGGTTTGTTTCTGTTTGAAATGAAGGGCGTGGAGCGAGGTAGGCTTCAGGTTTCCACCAATCAGAGCGCAGCCCCGCCTCCTGCGTGTGTTTGTAGTGATCAGCGTGTTGGTGGCTGTAAATCTGTAACAACAGAGTCTTTAGTGTGATGCTGGGAGCTGCAGAAGAAGCTAAAACTGAGTTWTTAAAGCTAAAAGTAGCAGAAAGCTAACTGGTGCTGAAAGTAGCTCAATAATAAATGTTTTTCATTAACCCCTTCATGCACACTCATAATAAAACTTGTTTTATTTTTTCACTCATGCACGTTAGGTTGTGCTGGTTTAGTTGTGCAGAATAAGCCTGGTGTTTGTGGGATTATTTATGTTGTGTGTTGCAGTTATGCTGTTAGAAAACAAACGGCTGAAGACAAACGATGAGAAAACATGAAGCAGCAGCTGCAGCTTCATGGCTGCAGGAAAGCGTTCCCTCCGCTGCAGGAACCTGGACTTCTCTGAACCCTGATCTGAAGATTTTATCTCTCCGTCGTTTCTCCTCGGCTGTTTTTCTCYTTAAAAGCATAAAAAGTAACGGCCCAGTCATGGACGGTAATCGTCTCGCCGCTACAAAGACAGGCCCGTTTTTACAGCCGGGTTTTTAATGTTGGTTTTATGTTGGTTTCCACACAGTTTCGACTCCCGCCCACCGTTTCTTCATGCCTCGTTTTAATGTTGAAACATGACACCTGTGGAGCAGCCGGAGAGCCCGATGGAATTTAAACGGCTTGCAGATTTTGTCGTTGTGGGGCGCCCATGATGGACTRTGATCCTTCTTGGCCTTGTAGGACAACTGTGGAACACATCCAGCTGAATTCTTGCTGCTTCTTGGTCCTCAYGAGGTTTCAGATCACTCTGTTTGGAGACGAAGGAATGTTCAGACACAAATGGCTGACAGAGKTCTGATTTCTCCAGGAGTGAAAKCSAAGGTTTGTTATTAACCTCGAGGAAAGTTACCTTCAAACGTTTCTCCTGGTCCACTCTGCTGCTTTGACCAAAACCACAGAGGATTGAAGAGGATGGAGGAGTTTAATGCAACAAACCTTGATCCAGACCCATCCTCCTTACAGTGCTTCACATTTTAACCATTAGTGATGTGAATACTTCATGACCACTCATTTTCTGTGAAAATGTAGTGCTGCGTGTCATTGATGTTTAGGTTATAGGTTAAAAAAAGCAAAACCATACAAAAATAGAACCAAAACTGTTTATAAAACAATCAAAATGAATGCTA